CACACGATGCCCTCCAGATTGACGCTGGTTCCCGGCTCGCAGGGCCCCAGGCACTCGGGCTCGGTGGCCAGCGCCACGTCGGAGGTGTTGACCGCCACGGAGCGCGTGCGGACCATGATCTGCTCGCACGGCGAGGCGATCTCGCTGTTGCCCACGGCAGCCAGCAGGTGGAGGGGGGGGGGGGCCGGCGTGGAGACGGGAGAGTCCATCTGTGGAGGAGGACACCACGATGTGAGGAGGAGCTACACACATGAGCAGTTATAAACATTTATTTATAAACACAGAAAAGGGCTGTTTGGGCTAGGGTAGCCAAAAGTATCGATACTTAAAAGTATTGATACTAAAACGTTGTATCCGGATACGATACTCATTTTCAAAAGTATCAATAACACCCCCTTCTCTCTGATTTATTTATTTTTTTACGTTGTTTATGATCATTAACGTGACGTTAGCCTTGAATTGCTAGCTGCGGCTAATGGCTAATAATAAATCGCCAACATTAATCAAGTCTGCAGGAAGCTAAGGATGGATATCCAACTCCCCCATATCCAAGTTGGCCATTTTGATTAGGTCACCAATAGGGAGATCCCAGGCAAGAAAATCCTAATTGCTTCATGGCAATATAGACATGAATTTAAAAATAGTGAAATGAATCTTTCAAACACTGAATTAAACTCTATACATGATATTATGTTAAAATAGTGGATGTTAAATAGGTTTGTACAATAAGTCCAAACAAGTTTATTTCTCACAATTATGAAAGGGGGGGGGGTCAGAGTTAGGGTCATTAATGTGGGCCACCATAACATCAGTAACAGGTCAGTTTGAAACCAAAGACAATAACCTGTCAAAATTCTGTTAAATTTAGGGGACTTTGTTTTTATCCTTGTGGTATCGAAAATGGTATCAAATATTCTCCTGTGTATCGGTATTCAGTTGAACATTTTAGTATGGTGACAGCCCTAGTTTAGGCAGCTGTTAGCGCGGAGAAGAGCTACTCTGCCTTTCCTCAACCTTTCCTCCTGAAACTCAGAAGTGATTAGCAGGCGTGGGGGGGTGGGGGGTATGAACTGTGGAAGGACAGAATTAGACATGCAGGCTGGGCCAAACAAACCCTGCACACACTCAGCAGAGCCAGATCCATGACACCAAATCATCTCACAGGCTGATCGCTCATTAATTCCCTCAATTAAAGTGCTGGTTGTGGTGAGGGAGCGGGCCGCGGAGGGTCAGTAATTGATTTCACCTGTTCTGACACGCTGAGAGAGAGAGAGAGAGAGGGCCGACGCGGAAAATGAAAAGGACGGTGAGGGAGGGGGGGGGCGAGGAGAGCAAATGGAGGCAGAAAAACACGTAGGTGGGAGGAGATACAGAGGAAGACCGATGTGAGGTCCAGAGTGTGTCCGGGCTCAGGGATCTTTACTCAAAAGCCGTGGACATTAAAGCCCCAAATCACGAGCACATTTATTAATTGGGCATAAACCGCTCGGCGTTCTGGAAAACGCTGCCAACGCCGGATCCAATTAGGCCCCGAAAACAAAACAACAACTGACACATTTGGATTACAAGCCTTCGCAGCCTTTAAATAATTGTTCTAATCTGCTTACGGCTCCAAACTGTGTCAGATGTTGCAAACTAAGGAACCAAAGCTTTGATCCGGCCCCCAAACCCCGAACCACGGTCCAAACTGGAGGCAGTTTTTTTTTTAAAAAGGATGTGAAGAAACGTCTTTAGATTTGGACATAAGTGCACATTATTGGTTTCTCAGGTGACAGATCCTGCTCCTGTCTGTTAGAACTGGGCTATAATTACTCACGTTAGCATAGCATGCTACAACTTAATCCATGTAAATGACTGTCTTATTCCTTTTAGATTTATATTATTCCCTTTATAATTATACGTTTGGGTTAAACTCTCTGGCTACAGTAGATACTCGTCTTCAAGCTCAACATCCACACTTTCTTATCACATTCCACCAAAACCTGCATGAATTAGGACCTGGCCTGTTCATGTCAGAGATAACTGGCCAATAACACTCGCCCTCCTGTTGGAGGCCCAGAGGAAAACTGTCCATCACACCCGGAAATGGAGGCTCTTTGCTAACTGAGATCCTCCGGGAGCTTTTGTCTGTTAGAGCCCAGTGCTGATTTACACTGCTTGTGACAAATAAATGTCATATTTGTACTCTTGATCTACTCTGGTTTTTTCTCAGGCTTCCAACTAAAGAACCAAATCTAACATGTCTTTGATGGAAAGGCTGCGTCCTTTTATTTTCTGCCTATACGAGCGTTAGCTAACATGCTATCTGACCACACTACTGAGCTCTAAGCTTCCGAACAGCTCGACACGGGAACAAAAAAAAAGGATTTCTCCACTTTTATTTGTGCTCTGAGGTTTTGATCATGATTACAGCTTTCATAAACTAGCGCTCGTGAAGATAAGGGAGAAAGACTGGCGTACACAGTCATTTGCATTTCACATATAATATACACACTTTGAAGTATTAGGAGTGTCAATCGAAGGATAAGGGGGGGGGGGGGGGGGGGGTCAGATGCTCAGAGTGGCTTGAAAACCAAATATTAGTCCCTGATGAAGCCCAATATTAGCCGGAGATTTGTCACCGTGGAATCTTTGCATTTCACGCTTTGCTAATGTCGGCTGATTTCTTCCGCCGACTGGAGGAAAAGCAAATTAACGAGGGAGGGGGGAGAGAGTCGGGGGGCTAACGGCGTGCTAACTGCGTCCTAACGGCGCCGTAACGGGCGGGACAGGTAATCACCGGCCGTCACCACACCGGAGCTCAGAGGAAACCTCAGCAGAGTGACAGCTAACGGCCTCAGACCTTTAGGGTGTTTGGATATCATTTCTGTAAGCCGGCAGAAATGTGTCTTAAATAGAGTCGTCACCATACTGAAATGTTCAACTCGATATATTCGATACTCGATACCACAAGGATAAAAACAAAGACCCCAAAATTTAACTGAATTTTGACAGTTTAGTGTCTTTGGTTTCAAACGTACTCATTACTGATGTTATGGTGGCCGGTGGCCCGCATTATTGACCCTAACCCTAATTAAACCTTAAACTCGTTTGGTTTTATTGTACAAACCTATTTAACATGCACTATTCCAACATAATATTATGTATAGAGTTTAATTCAGTGTTTGCAAGATTAATTAAACTATTTTTAAATTAATGTCTATATTGCCATGAAGCAATTACGATTTTCTCTCCTGGGATATTCCTAAACGTTTACGTTATTTACGTTGTTACTAAATAACCTAATCCCCTATGAAATGATTCCACCATTGCTGATGTGGACCATCTTTTTAAGTGGTTTAAGTCGTTTCTCTGCCTCCGATTCCAGGATTTTTTTTTTAATTTCTCGTTTCCCAAAGCATGCTGGACTCAGGCTGCTCTCATTTATTACCATATTTCAGTCATTTGATTTCTTCTGGACGAGTTCTTTCGGTCTACTCAGACTTATAATGACGAGCCGCTAACGACGGGAACTGAGGACTAGTTTTGGAAAACCGAGTAAAGGCAGAACGTAGCTCGAGCTTTGCCCCAATCTGTTGCTATCAGAGGCTTTTACATCTCTGCAACTCCCCAAAGCAAAGCCGTTCAAAATCCCGGAGATTTATTATTTTCGTTACGAGTTGCTGAATTTCAGAGGGATGTTTCTGCTTTGACGAGGGAGGAGAACCGGGACCGTTCAGTCAGGTAATGGTTCGAATTAAAGGGGGGGGGCTGTTTACAGTAAACAATCTGCTGCTTTCTATGTTGTGTGAATGGGTGAGCACACACACACACACACACACACACACACACACGCACACGCACACGCACACGCACACGCACACGCACACGCACACGCACACGCACACGCACAAACACACACACAGTCTTAACGTCTCTTTTGGGGTTTAAACAAAAAAGAAAAAAACCCACAAGCAACTCGACGGCAGAACTGGTGAGATTAAAAGGCTTTACCAAACCCTCGGTTCATGCCAGAGTCCAAGATTTCTTCCCTCCTTGCAAGACTTTACAGACGGGTTTTGAAATCCACAATCCTTCAATGTCACGCAATGGCTTTTTTTGGTTTTTGTTTTTGGTATGTATATGCCACAGTGGTGGAAAAAATCATGTCTAACTCTGACAAAAAAAGGCAGTAAATCCTGGACTGGGGACTTGTGCTTTGAACTTGTTTATTAGCTTTGTGACTAAAGGAAACTGAGAGCTGGGCTCCCATTTGGATTATGGGGAAGAGTTAGAGGACGACACCTGTCTCTGAGTCCTCATGTGGAGTCTGAAGAGCCACAAACGGACACCAAATGGCATAAACCTGCAGAATGTCGAGTTATTAGTATTTTTACGTCCTCCCGCCGTGAACCGAGGCTGTCGGGGGGGACAGACAGCTCGAACCTCCAACAGGGAAAAGTCTGAGGCCGTTAGACAATTTGTCAATATGATGCTGCAAACGTTTCCTCCAGGATGGCTTTTCTGTATTTATCTTATTAGCCGAGGCTGATATTTCAAATGTAACAAAGAAAAAATAGAAACGGATGATGGCAAACAGTCGGTTTTACGGGTCATTAGAGGACTAGTGACTGTGGACGTGTCATCTCTCCCAACAGCTAAAATAAAGAGGTGAGGAGGATTAAACCAACAAGTCTGTGAAATCTAAATAATTCCCAGACCGGAGCGCCGTTCCCTCCCTTGAATTCCAGGTTCTGTGTGCATTTTCCCCCCAGAAACAATTAAAAGATGTGAACGCGGTCGTTTCAAATAGCAGAAGATCCGGGTCATGTGACCAAACACGCGTCGGGCGTGAGGTGGGAAACAACTGGGGAACGTCTGACGGAGAAAAACCAGTAATGGAGGTGGAGGTGAGGAGGATTAAACCAACAAGTCTGTGAAATCTAAATAATTCACAGCAGCAGCGACGTACAAATGTCACGGTATGCTAACACGTGTAAGCTTAGCTTCGGGGCTCCGGGGCGTGTGCTTAACTCAGCCTGTCTGTTAGCATGCCTCCGCCGATTAGAGGAGTGATAATGGACGTGAAATCACCTGTGGCATTTCCATTTTTTACCTCTACTTTACATTTGTTATCGACACATAAATACAAACTGGCTTAAAACACTGTGAGCACGTTTTAAATGCTGATGACTAAATCCCAGCGTAAGGCTGTAAATCCATTGTACGC